TTTCCACTGCTGGAGGAGCTGAGTTTGTCTTTCAAAGCCTTGATTGGTCTTTATCCATGAGCCTTGGGTCTCTCCTGCGTGACTGGAACACTAATCAGAGAAGCAGCAACAACACATTTCGGAAGATGGGGGGAGAGGGTATGGGGATAAAAATAGACAGCCCAGCTTCACAGAAGCATAGTTTTGCTTCACAATCTGACAGTATTTTGAGAGATGAGCACAGGATTACCAGAGGGAGGAACCTCATGAATGTCTTTGAAACCCTGACCCTTCGAAAAAACTATGGGAAGGGGATGTTCTGCCTGGTCTAGATGAAACTACCTCATGAAAATGACTTAGAAATCATCCTGGAATCCCTAGAGCAGGACTACCAGTGGGTGAAGCAAGCTTAAGGTGGAGAAAGAGGCCTGCTTAGGGACTAGCATTAGCTGGTTGAGTTCACGAAGGCAGCATTTTCTGGTGGCCTCAGGTTTCTTGAAATTTGAATGTGAGGGCCATGGCTCTTATGCTTCTGTTCATTTCTCTGGAGAGAGAACCCCTAACTTTCCATCAGTTTTTCAGAGCAATCTGTGACCCACCCCCACTCCACTTCTCCAAGTTAAGAAGTATAGGGGGTGAAAATCACAAGCATAGGTTATGATTCTGGATCTTAGTGGTCTGAATTACATGGAAATAGTATGCTCCAAGCCTCGAGGATTTGCCATCTTTCACTACAGAAAAGTATAACCACCCTAAGCTATTTGTAATGAGTATTGATTGAATTTATAATCATTTTAAATGATTAAAAAAGGTACTTCCCAAAGGATAGCCACCATTTTGATGGAGCCAAAGGAGTATCAAATCTAATTCATGATTGCCAGAGCCTCCCCCTGACCCCAGCACAGCCACTTATTCAAGACTTTCATTTTGACTAAGAGCGAGAAAAAAAATGACTTCTATTTAGGCTGAGGACCCTAGAAGTGGAGAAAAATGTTTATAGAAGGCAATAAAACATAATGTGCCATCGGACAGGTTATTGAATTCGAGTCATAAGACTTTTTAAGAATTTTTAGCTGCTACAACTATGCAATACAATGTAGGAAAATTCTTGCAAACATTTTGTCCCTTAGCATTTGTAGTTTCTCTGTACATTCAACTGAGTTCTATCGTAACGGCCTTTAAAATATATGATCTCGCCTCCACTTCCTGAGAAATCAACTTGCCTTCTTTAAAATAATTTAAAGAAAATTGCCACCATAAACAAAGTTGAAAGACTAGGAGAAGATACTTGCAACATGCAGCCAACAGAGGATTAATACCTGTAATATATAAAGAGGTCCTATAACTCAAAAATCCAACAACTCAATAGAAAAAGGTAAAGTATATGAATAGGTAAACAGTAGAAGAAACGCAAATGTCCAGTAACCTCACTACTAATCATAAGAGATGTAATGAAAACGGCAGGAAGATATATCTGCTCATCTGACATCAAAAATTTAGGAGAATGACAATATTCAGTTTTGGATAGGTGGAAGAACAAGTTGGTAGTTTTTATAAAAATAATAAGTACTAATAACCTATGACCCGGCAATTCCATTCTTAAGGAATAATACACGTGTAGTGTTGTTGATAAAAGCTAAAAATTAATCTCAGGGTAAATGTCCATTAACAGGAATATGGCCAATTAGGTTATGATAGTCCCATATTCTGAATATGTGTGAAACAGTTAAAAAGAATAAGGTAGTTCTTATGTGTTGGTGTGGAAATATGTACATTTTCCATTAGTGAGAAAAGCAAGCCAGAACGATACAGGATGTATATAGTATAGTTTGATTCCGTAGTGTAAAATTAAATGAGACTGTGTGTGTGTAGTAACATACATGTGACTTCGTAGGGAAAACTCTGGCAGGCTGTGCCTCAAGCTCTTAAGAGTGGTTATGTCCAGAAGGAACAGGATTATAGGGGAGGTTAAAAGGAGGTAAACTCTTTTCTCTATGTCATCCAATACACCTTAAACTATTTCTATGGAATATAATCCATACATTACTTGAGTGGTTCAATAAATTAATAATTAAAACCCAGATTTAATTTTTTAAATATAGAAAACGCTGGCAGTGGACCAGGGCTCATGAAGTTGAGATGTATTTGGCTCCTTAACGAGAACCTTTAGTTCCTGGTTTAGGAGATTGAAAAGATTCCTCACTTAACAAAGCCGCTCGTCCAGAGCTGCCCTGTCAACAACGCTGGACTAATGGTGGAGGAGGAGGGTCCAGTCTCAGCCCGGTCACCGAGCAGAAGAGAAAGTGCTACTCTGGCTCCGTTCAGCGTGACCTCCACATGCTGGGACAGGAGACTGAGATTTGCTCTGCTCTCGCCTGAAGGAGGGTGAGAAAGAGAAGGAAAGAAATGGCCTAGCAAGATTGTGAAGAAAGGCAATCTATTCCAGTGAGGTGCGATGAGGAGGGCGTTTGTACGCCCACCTTACTTCCCAGTGCTGCTTCCAATCAGTCTTTGGCAGAGATGTTAGGTTGTGCCTCTCTTTGAAGAAATACCGCATTAGTTCCCAAATTCTCAAATCAGGCAGTTAGCTAGTGTTACCTGTTTATAACACCTTTATTTAAGAAACCTTATTTACGAAAAGTAGATTGCAACCATTAAAATCTATAAATTAAGGGGTGATTATCAGTTTACTTGCAAAATAATTGACATAGGATTCCGTTAATTAAGAAGAGTTTCTGATACACATAAACTCGTTTGCTGAAAACAAAGAGAACTGAACCTAAATTGTTAGAAGTCACTGATCATTGAAAATTAATCAGTAATGAAGGTGAGTTTTCTTCGAAAGGACAGTCTGTCATTGGGCACAAGACTGAATGTAACTAAAAAAATTGATTCATATCTAGATTCTGGGGTCATAGACTTTGGAGATGCAGGACGTCATGTATTTTACCATATAACTGAACAGGAATGTTTTCCCTTGATTAGGCTTTCCATAAATTACCAACAAATATTGAAAATGTTTTCATCACTTCTGTAAGCGTAGGGTATGTGGGGATAGTTCAGGATTTAGGCAAACATATTTTCTTTCCACATCGGCAGGGACCAAATTATCATCATCTTTTAGAGACCTAGTTTACTAGAAATGTTCATTCTTATGTGGTCGAATTGGGAGATTTTTTTTCTTTTAGATGAAATTTACTGAAATTTTATTTCTTAACTCTTAATTTAAAACAGCAACATGGAATCATGTTTGTAGAATGAGCAGAAATTCTAGAAAAGTGTGTCTCCCCCTTACCAATTCCAGATTGAAGGTGTCCATTTTCTAATGACCCCAGATAATATTTTTAAATAATGTTCTATTTTTCTTACGCAAGTAGTGCGTATTCCATGTAGAAAATGTGGAGAAAATAAATAAGCAAAAAGAAGAAAATGAAAATTACCCATAATTCCAACCTCTCAAAACAATCACTGCTAACATTTTGAAATATGTACTTTCAAGTCATTTTAAAATGTATATAATGCTTTTACAACAAAAACGATTTAAGATGTATAATTTTTCTACCTGTTATTTTTAATAATATGCCAAGGACATTTCTCTATAGTGTTAAATATTTTCTACATCATTTTTAATGGTTGCATAGTACTATCAATCCCCTGGGTCATTTTCAGTTTTTCACTATTATGAATAAGGCAGTATCTTTGAGTATCTTTATTATTAAATCCTTCTTCACATCCATAAAATTGATATGTCCTTGAAAGTACATAATGAGACAGCATAAGCCCTCTCTTAACATTGAGCTAATTAAAGATAAAAAATGATTTTTATTGAGATTCACTAGAACAAAGAAACCAAAATGTCTTTGTTTTTGTTTTCCAAATTATTGTCATGCCAGTGAGGGGGAGGAAAGAAAAGATCTCTTGAACACATGTATAGAGAAATTTCTTTAAATGTTAAACTTTTAGCTTAACATGACCTCGGTATTTATTCCAGGTGTATTTGTTTTTTAAAATTTTGATAACCAGCCATTGAAATTAAAGTGGTTGTATTGAAAGAATGTGTTATTATTGTTAACTGAAGTGCATTTGTTTAATTACAAAGCAGCATCTCTTTATTGCTTCCAGTTACCTCGATTTTCTAAAAGAAAAAGCATGCTCTTTGCTTGGCCAGACTTCTGCTTAACGTTCTTGATACTTACATTGCTATGGACAGCATCCTTGATTGACAGCTTTGGGGCGTGGGGGTTGTAGGGGAGGTCATTAGCTAAATAACAGCCCAGGTCTGGATTTAGAGCCGCCCTCCATCTTGGCCCCAGACCACACTGAATTAAATCATAAACTTCTGGCAAGTCTGCCCTTTGGAAATGAAGAGAATCTCACATGACACACATGGATTGATATAAAAAGGCACCAAGCCACATGATGCAGAAAATACCTAAGGAAAAATTCCAGCTGTGAATACCCGCCACGATAATTAGTGATCAGGGTGGTCAGTTATCTAGTCGCTCAGCACACCTTTATTGTAAACAGGTGTGAAGTTAAATTCTGCCACAAGAGCAGCAGAAGAATGCCCATCTGGGAAAATTGTTGGTAAAACAAAGTAAAATGTTCAAGAAGTAGGGTGGGCATAAGGAATAAAACAACAGAAGAATTTAAAGTGAGACTAATTGTTATTTTTATGTATTTCACATACTGACGGTGAATGGGTTCCTTAAGCTTTTTTTAAGTGGAGAAAGACAGGTTTCCCACCCTCAACACTGTAACATTTTGGATGTGATGATTCTTTGTTGGAGGGTGTGGGAGGGACCTGTGCATTGTAGCATGTTCCACAGCATCTCTCTGGCCTCTACTCATTAGACGCCAGTAACAACCGCAGTGCAGTTGTGACAAACAAAAATGTCTCCAAAGTGTCCCCTGTTGGGATCCGCTGGATTTAACATCATTATCTTGAAATACTGAAAAACTGCAGACTCGGGTGAAAAACCATAATGTCATGTGCCGTTTTATTTATAGATCAGCGTGGGTGGAATTAGTGTCAGCCATCTTCAAGCTGTTAGGCTAGACTTCAAGTTCAGTGTAGACCTGCACTCTCTGACACCCATATATGCCGTGCAAAAATATATCTGTGTGTGAGCATTGCACCTAGCAAGCATCCTTTCTCAGCCCTCTACGTCAAGTCTCCTACAATAGCAATGAAAGTGTTCTTTCTGTTGCTGAATGCACTGATTTAAAGAATCGATTCGGGAAGGTATATGGAAGGTAAGTATTAAACCAAACAAACCTGAGCCTGTCCTGGAAGGGATCTTCTAACTTCTGCTTTAGGAGATCCCAGCCTACGGCACTGCCACGTGCTAATACTCTCTACCCCTTTAGCTCACTTCACGAGAGTCACCCCTAAATAATTTCCACTCTTCTCTGTTCTAAGACTATTTTGACTTCACTTCCTTGTACTCATTCCCCTTTTGGCTGGTTTAGCTAACTTTATGATTTACTCCTCATAAAGTTAGTGAATCCCCTGCTTTTTAAACCTCTCTTTGGCTTCCTC